GGGGGTCCACACTGGCGGCTGAGAGATGCATTCAGCCGTCTTGATCAGCCAGAAGACGGTGGCAGTCTCGGCAAGGTAGTACGGGATGGATGACAGGAGGCGTGGTGGCCTGTGATCATCACGAAGGATCCATTCTGTGCCATTCTTGAGGACACAGTTCCAATGGCCAGTGGAGCCACTTCCACTGTAGCAGCTGAAGGCGACAACCTCATACGATTCCCAGCGCCTGGTGTAGTCTGCCTCGAAGAAGGGAATCTGGATGCCTGTTCCCCAGGTCAGCTGCGTGCCAAGCCTCATACCTCGGATGAGCGGCCAGGTGCGGGTGACATGAAGAATGATGATACGGCTGTCATTCACGAGTGCTGCTTTCATGTGGAGCGCTTCATGCCATGTGGGGAGCAGCTGTTCCAGTGTCAGCTTTTCTACTTCAAGTTCACTGAGCACATCGATGCAAAGCACGTTGTTGGCATTGCAGTTCCCATCTTCAGTGAAAAAGCCATCAGTGGCAGAATACACTCGTTGCCACTCATGGTTGATCCCCGGGGCTTTTAGCCACGTCAGCAGGGCAGTGGTGAATTCTGCAACATCCTGTTGTTTGTGAGTGTCCCCCCACTCTTCAAACAGGGAGGCCAGTGCCCCATGAGCTGCCAAGTGCATGGGATGTTCAGCCTGGAGTAGTTGCAGGATGGCCTTGCGTCGAGGACCAAGGTGCACACTGTCAAAATTGCTCTGCTGAGTGATAGCCCATAGAGTGCATGCAATTGAGCTGTTGACATAGCACTGCACTCCCTCATTGATGAAGCCCGTACTCTGGAGCCATTGTGAGGTCATGGCTTGAATCATGCCCGACTGGAGGTTTTCAAAAGATCCTGGATCTCCTGGGCGATCTTGCTGCGTTGTTGTGTGTGTTGGCGTACCCTCGCACTGATGAGGAGCCATACTGAGTTCGCTGCTAGCTTGTCCATCACATCCTTGAGCTCCTGGTCCCTCATGGAGACTTGAAGCCTCCAAGGCACCACATCCGTGGTCTTGCTCATGTTCTGCAGAGAGTGGAAGCGGACCACGTTGGTCTTGAGTTTGGTCAAGACCTGGAGCCGTTGGAGGAGAGCTTCCATCTCGTTGAGTGGGATGCCCGGCCGGTTGTCTGGTACTGTCATCTTGCGATGGGCATCCCACTTCAGATAGGGGAAGGCATTGTTCTCCAGCAGGAGGTGTGTCGAGAGTGCTCCCTGCTTGATCTTGGGATCCTGGATGGCTTTCCCGAACTCGATGAAGCGGGTGATCATTTGATGGGAGAGACCCATCGCAAGATGCACCCTCAACGGCGGGAGGTCCGCCGTGTTGGCTTTCATCCTCTCGTTCCATGAACTGGCTTCCTGCACCATGTGGTCGATCAGGCCGTTGGTCGTCCTGTTGAAGTGGATGATGTAGCTGTCCTGACTCTGGTAGCTGTTCAGGCTGTCTTCGTGGCGGATCATCAAGATGGCCAACATCCTGGTGAGCTGGTCGATGCTTTCCCCTTGGTGATCTCTCGCGCTCCCCCGCGCCGGTTTCTGGCGTTTTCGGGGCTGGGGTGCATCCCGGTTCTGATCCCTGCTGAGCTCCCTGTTGGACCGTAGCATTGCGCCTAAGGAGGTCTCTAATTGACTGAGCCTGTCGGCTTCCGTCAGGACCACTCCCTCCATGTTCTCCATGCTTGCGCTGGAGGTGCAGCAAGGTCCTGCACAGCAAGAGGCCGCAATTGATCAGTACTGGGCACATATGCTGCAGCATTCGCCAGGGGGTGTCATCTTCAAGTTGGTATGCATTTCCCCTGTGTTGACAAGCACAACAATGGTCAGGATGGCCTAGCCGTTTGAGGTTCATGGCTAGATATCGAAACACTGCACAGAATTCGTTCAGGAAGGCCTTGTGATTGTGTGTCAGGTGCTCCACAAGATCCGTCTTTTGACATGTGCATATGCTGCAATGCTCTTTGAGGGCCTGACAAATGGTCTGGTCCGACCAGATCTGGTGCAGTTCTTGGCGTAGGAGTCGTTGGACCAGTGCTGGAGCCTTGCTGTGAAGGACCGGGTTCCAGGTGGCAACTCTGGTGAGGATTTCTTCTGTGAATGCAATTGGTAATATGAGCCATCGATGGTCAGGATTCAAGTGGTGATGGAGGATGGCTAACTGGCGGTATGCCGTGCAGCTGTGTCGATTGGCCTGTGCGGCTGTCAGCCAGGGTGAGGGATTGCAAACACAATCATCCTTCTGGGTGAATTCCAGCAGGACAGCATGGTAGGGGTCTGCTAGCCGGAAATGCTCCCCATGACTCTGTTGGAGGTGTCGTAAGATGTCAATGGCCCTTCTGAACTGTTGCATGCATATGGTACAGACCTGTGTCAGGTGGAATGCATCTTCCGGAGTCGTGAGAAGGGTCCGGATGTCACCTTGCAGCAGGTGGAAGTGCAAATTCCTGTCAAGGATGAGGGCAGTCGAGTCTTGTCGATGTACATTGAAGTTCGAGCATCGGTTCTTGTCAATATGAGCTCGAAGATTCCAGTGCTCTTTGCAGTCAACTCCACAGTGAGCACAAACCGCCGTGCCTCCTTGGGAATCTCTGACACAGCTATAGGTCCGGTGGCAAGTCTGGATGTGCTGCTGGAGTGCCAAGAGCGTGCCAAAAGGTTTGGCGCAGTGAAGGCACACCTCAGGTCTGGTGTTGAGTGGCACTTGATCAATGCTGCTTGCTCCAAGATCTTCAAGATGCAGTGCAACCTGAAGTCGAACTGGACAGGAGTGACTCTGTCGAAATGCTATGTGACACAAAGGACATGGTGAGTCCGTGTGCTGGGCGGTCCATGTTTGATGCCTTGCCAAGGCATTGGTAGCAATCTCGGGATGGTCGAGACGAGCATGTCTGGTATGCTCCCTGATCTGGGGACAAGATTTGCCGCACAGGATACAATGATGCTTCATATGGTCACAAAGTGCCTGGTTGGCGGCGATCATCTCCCAGTTCAGTGGGTCTGCTAGACTCTCGAGTGCCTGACGTTTCTCTTGCAAGGATAGGTCATCCGCCTTGGCAGGGTCAAAGTTGGGACAACGTGCTTGAGTGATGTGGCGTTTCAGCTCTTCAAAATTGGTCAGGGTGCGATGACAATGACTGCATTTAGAGAAGCCATCTAGACTGTCCCTGGCAATACGAAAAGTGTGAGAAACACCGAAACGAGGCTTTGCATGAGCTTTGGCTTGGTGTGCATGCAGACTTTTCAACGAAGGGAAGGTTCCTGAGCATCGGTCGCAAGTGTGCATCTGATCCATGATGTCACGTGGGGCTGGACCTGTCAGGGACATTTGAATGAGATCAAGTGCATCATCGAGTGTGACAAGTCGAAGAGGCTTGGTGATGTCGTGTTGGAATGTGGATCGATTCCGTGCCCGAACGCCTGTCAGCTCAGCAAGGCCCCTCTTCCATAGATAGACGAGTGGTGGCTCTAGGTGATATTGATGAAGGAAGTCCTGGTGGCTTATTCTATTCATGTAGCATGATGCTTGATGGATGCACCTGAGTTGCTGCATGAAAATGGATGAAATGCGTGCAAGTCCAGTGGGTATGATGCCAACAGTGAAAAGTCCAAACATGAGTGTACTAATGACCGTCGACTTCCAGACCAGGAGTTGTTGTTTCAATGTCAACCTGGATTTGCTCTGCAACCACTTCTTGAGTCGATGGAAGGCCACACGAGCTGATTGGATTCGATGCGTGAGTGTTCTTTCTTCCCAGTTGGTGTATGTCAAAACTATGCCAAGATACTGTGTTTGTGAATGTAACCGAAAGAGCGTTTCCTTGCCCCCTTGACGGGGAATCACAAGACAGAAGCCCTCTTTTGTGCATCGTGTGAAGGCATGGTACTGTCTGGTGCAGTGTTTTCCTTTCATGATCAAGAGGGCACAGGACTTTTGGACATTAAGTCTAAGCCCTTTGTGTTCGATGACATCCAGCATCTGACCAAAAGTTACAAGTGTTTGCTGCAATTCAAGTGGGGACTCAAAAGGGGCTCCCGCATGGATGTCGTCAGCAAAAATCGTGACATGCTCTTGCACCCAGGTGGATTGAATGACCTGGCAAAAGTGTTCGAGCAGGTCATGGGCGAAAAATGCCCAGAGCAGTGGCGCAGCCTGGCATCCTTGCCGGATGCCAGTGGTTGTTGGTATGTCATCATTATACCCTTTGTGATGTACATGGTATCTCGTGTCCAAGTGCCATTGCTCCATGATGATCCTGAGACTATCTTGAATGTCAAGTCGGGATAGACTGTCAAACAAGGATGGTCGAGGAAGGGAGTCGAAGGCTTGCGAAAGATCTAAGCTGATTTGTACACCTCCAAAAATGAGTGGAACTTGTCTGTGGTGCGTGCGTGCTCGAGTGAGGGAGAAGTCCTGTATCATCTTCCTGACTTGTTGACAGTGGCCTACCACGCGACTGATGGCGTCAAGCACCCCCGTTTAGGGAGGTATGCAAACTGCGGTCTTTGACAAAGCTGGTGGAGGCATTGGTCCCTAGCAATCTTTGCAACTATGCCCAAAACAGCTTTTCCGAGTGGATCTTGGAGAGCAAGAGGTCTTAACTGTTGGGGGCGTGTGGAAGGCTTCCCCGGCTTGGGCATGAGAAACAGTGTGGCATCCTTCCATGATTGAGGGATATAAATAGGGACACTGTTCCACCAGGATAGGAGACTGAACCACAGTTTTTCTGCAACAATATCAGGGTCCACAACCCAACATGGTGCAGGCGCACTTCTGGGGGCAGTGGCTTTGGTGAAAGGAATGCATCTAATAGCTTTCTGGAGTGTCTCTATGTCGAATGGCACCCCCGGTGGTGGATGTGGTCGTGGAACATGCGGGGTACCATGCCAGGTCGTTTTGACATGTTGGCAAAGACAGCAGAATTCCTCATATGGGTTCAAAAGCTGACCGGTCTCAGATCGAAGCTGCATCCTCCTACTCTTGGTTTTGGGGGAGAGAGTTCGAATAAGGCGATAAAGCTTATGACTGTTGTGAATGTCTGCTGCCTCACGTGCTTGCATCAGCATGGCATCTATTCTGGCCTTTCTCACTTCGTGGCAGGCTTGCTTGTGCCTGTGGCAGGCAGTGCGAAAAGCTGTGATTCTGGCCCAGATTCGAAACAGAGAGCTGAGGTCAGTGCGGTGTTCTTGCTTGATAAGCTTGAGGAGGGTCCATTTCTCCTGCGTTTTCTGGCATGTCTGTTCCCACGGTGCTGTTTGCATCGATGGCTGGTCAAAATGCTGCCGAAACAGGTCAAGTGCCTGCGCATGCAATTGGACAAGGCTGGAGTCGTCGGACAGGACCATTGGTTCCTCAAGGAGACTATGCATGTCGGAATGAAAGGAGTGCCATGTAGACGAATCAGCATGATATGCATCCGTGCATCGAATGCGTTGCATGTAAGTGGCATTCTTGGGTAAGGACAGTTGAACTCGATTCCATCGATGGTTGATCGAACCCAGGATGGGATAGTGCCGACTGCCAGCAAGAGCATTCAACGGAAAGGTGTCTAAAACACAGCACCGTTTAGCTAATCCATCGACCTGCTTGGCCCTGGTGATGATGTAGTCAATCCGGGAGGATCCTAGCGGGGATTCAAACGTGGGCCCATGAGATGAGTCCCAGGTGTTCAAGGCAACTAGGTTATGTGTTCGAAGAAGAAGTTCAAGGTCTGTGGCATCATGATGCTTGGGACCATGCTTTCTGAGCTTATGTCCAGCACGAAAGTCGGACAGACCAACCAGGCCAGGCATGTGAGGTAGACTCGTATTGAGGTCACCTAGGATGGCCAGGGTATTGCGTCTGGGAAGGCAACCAAGACACTCTTCAAGTTGCTGCCAAAAGTGTGTTCTGGATTGTCTGACTGTCAAGTCGGTGTGGTATGCAAATTGGTAGCAAGCAATAATGTCTATGTTATGTCCTTCCATATACAATCTTACATGAGTTAGGCGTCCGGCAATATATGTGTGCGAGGAGAGATGTGAGTGCTCGGGCATAGTTTCTTCCTGATCAAGATCAAAAGACCGGCAGGACTCTTCACATGTGTACCAACCTGGATGCATGTCCACTGCGGATCAAGCCATTCATGATCGGCATATCGATGCGTCTCCTGGATGCAAGCCACATCAATGGGTTGGAGGCTGAGCCAATGCAGGAGCTCGTCTTGTTTCGAAAGTGATAGTCCGTTGCAATTCCAT